ATGGGACAGTGATGGGGACGGTGGGGACGGTGGGACAGCAGCGGCGGGGACAGTGGGACGGTGGTGGGAACAGTGGGGACAGTGGGACAGTTGTGGGGACCGTGGGGAAAGTGGGGAGAGTGGGACCGTGGTGGGAGCAGTGGTGGGGACAGTGGCGCGCTCCCCGCGCTAAGGAGGGGGGTCCAGCGCCGATCCGAGAAATCTGCGCGGACCTCTGAATTTCGATGAGGGGCAACGGTAGGGGGGGACAGGCACGGGGGGGGATGCATCGACCTGGAATCGGCCGATGCATCGTCAATAGATCGGCGATAGGCCCCCGATCGTGAATCCGCACCTTCCTGGGCAGGGTGGGGCTATCGGGTCCCTATCGGCGATCAATGGGCGATTGTGGGTCGATGCATTCCCCCTGTGCCTATCCCCCCCTTCTCGTTGCCCCCGATTCTATCTTTACGTCCTTGTTGGTTCCCCTGCGTACGGTCCGGAGCTCTTGGATAGCGGGTCGCGGCGGCGGCCCCTGCGACTCCCTTCCCTGTCCCCCCTGCAAGTGGACAACGTGTCGCTCAGCTCCGCGGGGCGGGAGGCTGAGAATCGGGGGCCCCCAAGCGGGGCGGTGACAACACCGTGTGGTGAGTCGGTGGGGATTCGGGGTCACCGCACGGTTTTGGGACTCGGATCGTTCTCCGAGGACGGCTCGGGCGACTGGGGCATCCTGGGTCCCAAAACCGCGCGTTGACGGACCGTGCGATGAGAAATTGGGGGATCTCGAGGTCACCGCCCGGTGGGTCACCGCACCGCTTCGGGACTCCACAGAGAAAGGGGACATCGGCGCTCGGGGACCGGGAAGTGGATGGAGCGTCGCGCGGAAGCGTGGTGGGCCAGAGCTGGCGGAGCGCGGAGCGACACGCTATCCAAGCATTCCCGACCGCAAGGCTCGGGTTCGGGGGACCCTGGTTGGCCTGGCGGGGCCGTCAAGAAAACGCCACGACCCAGTTTGAAAGTTGACGCGAGCTCCCGCTGCAAACACCCCAGGCCCGTAACAAAAACGTAGGCAAACCAGAGCTCCAGCGACCTCAAGCCTTTCGTTCCCCCGAAACACGAGGAGCTCTGCCTGGAAGGGGCGCCCTGCCACTCGGACGCCGAGGGGGAGCCATAGTGGCACAGAGCCTGGCATCTCGACGTGTCGTCTCCAGCGGGCACGTGCTCGCCCGCAGGGCCCGCGGCGCGCGCTGCCCTCCGGAGTGACGCTTGGCAGCGGGGGGAGGCGCACTCCCGACTCGATGCGCGCTCTCTCTGTGCGACCGCCGTCGCCGCCTGGCTCCCCCTCCTCCACGCTCCCTCCCCGTTCCCTCCGCGTCACACCTCCTCGCCCCTCCCCGCCTCCTCGCCTCTTTCCCCCTTGGACCCCTGTGTCGTATATATATATATATATATATATATATATATATGTATGTATGTATGTATGTGCGTGTGTGTGTCTGTCTGTCTGTCTGTCGGTCTGTCTGTCTTTCTGTATGTATGTAGCAACACCACGCCAAGCAGCACCACTCCGACAGGCATGTCGGTGAGCAGTAGGAGTGAGAGCAACACCACGAGAATTACGACCACGACCGCTACCGGCAGCATCACGCCAATCAGCACCACTCTGCCAAGCACGTCGATGAGCAGTTCGAGTGAGAACAACACCACGACAGAGATGACCACGACCGCTACCAGCAAGCAGCGCCACTCTGACAGGCTCGTCGGCGAGCAGTGCGGGTGAGAGCAACACCACGAGAGTTACGACCACGGCCGCCACCAGCAGCACCACGCCAAGCGACGCCACTCTGACAAGCTTGTCGGGGAGCCGTACGGGTGAGAGCAACACTACGAGAGTAACGACCTACCGCTACCGGCAGCACCAAGCCAAGCAGCACCTCTCTGACAGACACGTCAACGACAAGTACGAATGAGAGCAGCACCACGAGACTTACGACCACGACCGCTGCTGGCAGCACCACGACATGCAGCGCTACTCTGACAAGCACGTCGGTAAGCAGTACGAATCAGAGCAGCGCCACGAGAGCTACGACCACGACCGCCACTGGTAGCACCACGCCAAGCAGCGCTACTCTGACAGGCATGTCGGTGAGCAATGCGAGTGAGAGTTGCGACCACGACCGCCACCACCGGCACGAGCACGCGGGAGCAGGGTCCAGCCTGACCAGGGCTGGGCTCTGCTCCCGCGTGTGCCATTTGATTACCCTCCCGCCAGGCCGCCTCCCCGCGGCCTGTTGCTTGTCACAATTCTGTGCACCCTGTTCGGTGCGTCCCCCCCTCCCTGCCCAATTCTGGGGGCGCACCCCCGCAGCGTTGCCTAGCCGACGCTGCCGCCTCACGGCACATCCCTATAGGACGGCTGCTCCTTGCCGCTCTGGCGAACTCTGGGCCTCGGCCGCCCCCGGGTGCGCTGCTCCCGTGCCTCGCTGGGGCTACCTGCTCCTACCCCCCAGCCCCACCTGGTGGCCGGCTGCCGCCGCCGCCTATGCCCTGCGGCTCTCCGCCTCGATCCTCGATCCTCGATCCTTGCCATCGGCCTTCTCCTCCTCCTCCTCCTCCTCCTCCTCCTCCTCCTCCTCCTCCTCCTCCTCCTCCTCCTCCCCGTGGCTCTCCGTGAGCTGAGCACTCCTGCAGTCCTCTTGCCGTGCACGCGCCCTTCCCCGTTCTTTCGAGGGCCGCCCGCCGGCCGTCTCGCTGGCGGCCCATGGGCCGGGCACGGGCCGGTCTTGCCGCCCTTCCCTGGCCTGCTCCCCCGCGGGGGCGCCCGCCGCCCTACGGGCCTCCCCTGGGGCCGCCGCTGCCCTGATCCGGAACCGCTCGGCTGTGCTTGCTGCCCAGGGCCTTCCAGCCCCGAGGCCGCCTCCGGCCGGTTCGCGGGCCCGCCCGCGGCTCCTCGGTGCGCTGGCCTTCTGCAGGTCTTTTGGTGTCGGGCCGCATCGACCACGGCCTCCGCCACGGGCGGCGCCTCTGCCCCTTCCTGCCCGGTGCGGAGAACGCCCACCGCCCCCTTTCCGCCCTGCCTGGTTCTCAGCCCGGCCCCTCCCTCTCGAGGCGGGCCTCGCTCTGGCCGTCCCTGGGTTGCCCTTCGTCGCCAGCCGGCGCGCTGCCTCGCGCTCTGGCTCTCCCCAGCCGTTCCCTCCCCTTGAGGTGGTCCTGCCATGGCCGTTCCCGGGTTGCCTCGCAGGCGATTCGTGACCTTGGCACCCTCGGCACTCCACTTTCGCGTCCACCTTTGTCTCCAGCCTCCGCTGGGCACTCGCCGCCCGCGCCCCCCCCTCCGCCCCCGACGCCCTGCCTGCTCTTCAGGCCGACCCCTCTCCTGGAGGTGCTCCCGCACCTGCCGCCGTTCCCGGGCCGCCTCGCAAGCCACCTGTGACCTCGGCACCCTTGGCTCTCCCGCTGCCTCGCAGCCGACCAGCCATAAGTGGGGGAGCTGTGGTCCTTACCCCCCCTGGGGGAACCCATCGCCTCGACGATCTCTCGAGAGGGGTGTCGAACTCGATGGGTCCCCCAGGGGGGCAAGGACCACAGCTCCCCCAGTTGTGGCTGGCCTGCGCAGCCTCCGCCTCCAGCCTGTGCTGGGCACTGCCCCCCCCCCCTGGGCGCCTGCCTCCAGCGGCCGCCCTGCTCTGCCCCCACCCCCCAGCCGCTGCCCCGCCGCCGCTGGCCCCCGCCCACGCGGCGCTCCCCTGCCGCCGCCCGGCCCCGCTCTTGAGCGGGCCCGGCCTCCGGCGCCCTCCTGCCCGCGCCGGGCGCCCTCCCTGAGCGGTGCCCGGCCCGGGGGAACGCCGGGGGCCGCGCCCTCTGAGCGGGCCCGGCCCCCGCCCCCGGCGTTCCCCCGTGCACGGCGGCCCCATTCGCGCTGTGCACCCCGCGGACGCTTCATCGCCAGCGCAGTGACCCTGCCTGGCCGCCGGCGCAGAAAGGAGGTGTGAACGGCCCCCATAAGAGGGCCCCAGGAGAACCCACGCTGCCTCCCGCGTGATCCCAGGAAGGCCGCAGTACGACCCAGCTGGACTTCCAACAGGCATCCATATCGAGATCCGCGACTGCAATCATGGTTCGCCTGTGTCTGCTCAGCCTGACTCCGAGCTTCGGTTTGATGGCATGGAATTTCCAAATACATACAGCCGTCGTGCTACCAGAAGGAACGCAGTCCCTCCCTCCCTCCCTCCCTCCCTCCCTCCCTCCTCCCCTTCTCCTTCCTCTCCTCCTTCTCACCTCCTCCTCCTCCTCCTCCTCCCCTTAACCTCCCCTTTTTCTCCCCTCCTCGCTCCCGTCTTCTCTCCATTCCTCCCTGCCCTCCTCTGCCTGTCTCGCTCACTGCCGTAGTCCGTCAGCCCCTTGACTTCGCCTCCTTTTTCTCGACTTCGCCGGCCCCTCCCCGACCCGCTGCGTTCCCTCGCCCCTTTCCCCCTCACCTTCATACACACACACACACACACTTTTCCGCTCCCATCCTACCCTTTGTCGATTCCTTTCTTATCTCCGCTTTCGATACCCTGGGGCCTGGAGGCTTAGAAATATCGCGTGCTGTGACGTTGGTTCGAGGCTGCCCAGTCTGAAGCGGAGCAGCAACTTCGAATCACACGTCCAATGCACGCGTCATCCGATTCTTCCGACACTCGAGATTTCGGGGACGTGCTCCCCTCCGTCCGTCTTCATCGCCCCTCCATACCAGCCTTCCCTCACCCTACTGAGAACGCTGCCTCCACGCGCATTTTGAGGTGCCTGTCGCTTGCGCCCCACTTGCAGCGAGCTGCTGTGGCAACGGGAAGCTCAAGCGGGCATATTGAGGCAGTACGAGGTTATGCAGCTGCGGTTGCTGAGTACGCAAATGCTATTGTGAACTAACTACGCCAAAAAAGTGAGGCGTGCGAAACAGAAAACAAACACGGGCGCATGCACCGTACAGTCGTGCGCGTGCGGACGCACACGGACTCGCAAGCGAACGTGGCCGACTC